GAGCCCCATTTCAGGGGTGTCTCCTCGCCCAAGCGCCCGGAGACATGCTGAGACACTGAGTGGCCAGTATCAGACGCCAGGCGAAGGCTGGCAAACCCGTGGCTGCTAAAATAAGCTGAATTGCCCTCTTTGGCTGAATTCCCCTACAACCGTAGGCCATCTCGCTCGAAGGCCTTGACATCTTCGAAAGGGATACTGTTGCGTCGCAGGTTGATCTCTTTCAACGCGGTGTTGGCCTTCGAGGCCTCCGCCAAGGCCTTGGCGCCCTCGGCGCCGATATGGTTGGAGCACAGGTCGATCTTTTTCAACGCGGTGTTGGCCTTCAAGACCTCCGCCAAGGCCTTGGCGCCCTCGTCGCCGATATCGTTGAGGCTCAGTTCGATCCTCTGCAACGCGGTGTTGGCCTTCAAGGCCTCCGCCAAGGCCTTGGCGCCCTCGGCGCCGATATGGTTGGAGCACAGGTCGATCCTCTGCAACGTGGGGTTGGCCTTCAAGGCCTCCGCCAAGGCCTTGGCGCCCTCGTCGCCGATATGGTTGACCCCCAGTTCGATCTCTTTCAACGCGGTGTTGGCCTTCAAGGCCTCCGCCAAGGCCTTGGCGCCCTCGGCGCCGATATGGTTGGCGCTCAGTTCGATCTCTTTCAACGCGGTGTTGGCCTTCAAGGCCTCCGCCAAGGCCTTGGCGCCCTCGGCGCCGATATCGTTGAGGCTCAGTTCGATCCTCTGCAACGCGGTGTTGGCCTTCAAGGCCTCCGCCAAGGCCTTGGCGCCCTCGGCGCCGATATGGTTTTCGCTCAGTTCGATCCTCTGCAACGCGGTGTTGGCCTTCAAGGCCTCCGCCAAGGCCTTGGCGCCCTCGTCGCCGATATCGTTGAGGCTCAGTTCGATCCTCTGCAACGCGGTGTTGGCCTTCAAGGCCTCCGCCAAGGCCTTGGCGCCCTCGGCGCCGATATGGTTTTCGCTCAGTTCGATCCTCTGCAACGCGGTGTTGGCCTTCAAGGCCTCCGCCAAGGCCTTGGCGCCCTCGTCGCCGATATGGTTTTTGCTCAGTTTGATCCTCTGCAACGCGGTGTTGGCCTTCAAGGCCTCCGCCAAGGCCTTGGCGTTGTCATCGCCCAGACTGTTGTCATCCAGCCTCAGTAACTCCAGGCGCCCTGCGTGGCCCCTCAGAACGTCGAGGAAGTAGACGAAGCCGTGCTCCCCAAGTGACCTCCCGCAGCTGAATCTGTGCAGGAACAGGTTTTCGGCGTTGCCGTCGAGGAGCTCCATGGCGGCGTGGAGCAGGGGAAGGCTTTCCCTGGTCGCCTGCACACGTCTCACCGTGGGGTCTCGGAGGCCATGGTCCTTCAACGCGAAGGCGAGGAGCCATCCGCCCTCCTCCATAAGGGGCTTCAAGAAGCGCTGCACCTTGCTGGCGTTCCCCTTGCTCGCGGCGAAGAACAGCTCCTCCACGATCCACGGCAGCACCATCTTGCTGAGGCAGCGTCGCGCACTCCAGGCGAAGAGCAGCTGCAGCAGCGGCATGAGCACAGCCGAGGCAAGGACCAACTGGCTTCCGCCCTCGAAGATCATGAAGACGACGGCGGCGGCGCCTTGGGGCAGGCTCTCGAAGAGGAGGGAGCGCTGCTTCTCCTTGGTTGTCTGTTTGTACAGGAGCTGGACGGCCTTTCCCGGGTACTCGGGGAAAGCGAGGAGGCCCGCAGCTGCCGCCTCGTGCTCAACCGAGGCAAATGTGACGCCAAGGTAGGTCTCCGCGAGCTCTGCTGCGCCCACCGTGTCTTGGAGGATCCGGAAGTTCAGCACCGCTAGGTAGGCGATGCTTGCCACCCCCACCAGCCTCACGATGCGGTGCTCCGCCTGAAGGCAGAGCCCTCCGAATTGGATGTCCTTGAAAGTGTCAAAGGCATCCGAGAGGAAGGGTGCCACCGCGGCCACCATCGCCATGGTGAAGGCGGACGGGGCGAACTTCCCGGGCTCGAGGCAAAGCGCCTGCAGCAGGCACCAGAGGTTGCCCAGCGAGAGCATGGTGAAGTAGCCCTCCCATGGCAGCCCCGTCTTCTCCGAGAGGAGGCCCGCATTCGAGCACCAGAGCACCAGGCTGGTGCTCAGGGCGAAGTCCGCCAGCCCCCTTGTGGGGCCACCAGGCTGTAGGCGCGGGCTCGCAGTTTCCAGTACCAGTTGTAGCTTGTAGTTTCCAGTGTTACAGTTCTGCTTCTTGCTGTTACTGTAACTAGTTGATTGACCGCGCGAGGGGGGGGAGGCCCAAACCAGATATTTAGCACCTCCTGGGCGCGTTGTCTGAATTGCTGGGGGGGCTCGAAATCGACACCCCTCACACAGATCGGCGGGGTCAGGGTCCAAAAACACAGGTGATTTGCCACATTTCTGAAATTCGGTGCCACCCCTCACGCAGATCCGCGGGGTCAGGGTCCAAAAACACAGGGGATTTGCCACATTTCTGAAATTCGGTGCCACCCCTCACGCAGATCCGCGGGGTCAGGGTTCAAAAACACAGGGGATTTGCCACATTTCTGAAATTCGGTGCCACCCCTCACGCACATCCCTCGCAAGGCGTGGTAACCCAAACTGCGAGTACTCCCTCGGCCTTTTAATCCCAAGGTGTGGTAACCAAGCTCGTAAACCATACACGTCTTACCAATCGCCCTGTGTGGTAACCCCTCTTGTGATCAGTTGGTTTTGCCGATTGCGAATCGGCCTCGCATGATGTTCCGATACTGCTGCGCGACAGCGCCAAAGCCTCATCACTCAGCTCTTCCATGGCCCATTCTCCGAGAGAGGGGGCTGGCGGCAGGGGGCGAAACCCTTACGGATAGAGAAGGAAGGTCGCCCCGGTGGCGACCTGCATCCGGAGCGCCGGCGAATTCTTCACTCTCCACAGCAGGTGGTGCACGCGGCCCGCCCTGCTGGCCTGCTCCTCGTAGCTGTGCATCTCATAGCTCTCCGTAGCCGGGTCGTCCGGCCGGCTCCGCAGGCGCCAGAGGAGGTACTGCGCCGCCGAGGACTTCTGCGCGATCTCGAGCTCATACATGTCGCAACTCATTCCAACCCTAACCCAATCACATCTCCGCTTCTGGTACTTGCCCGGGGGAGCCACCTCCGCGCTGCCGCCGTCGACCTCCGCGCCGCCGCCCTCGCCGCCCGCCGCGGCCTCACCGCCGCCCTCCTCGGCGCCCACTCGGTTGTAGGCGCCGCGGCGTCCCGCCTCGCGCCCCTTCAGGAGCATGGCAAGCGTCCCGAGGGCGCAGACCACGGCCGTCTCGAGGAGCATGGCGGACCCCCAGAACTGCAGGCGCTGCGCCTGCTCGCCGCGCGGGAGCTTGCGCACGTTGCGCGGGAGGAAGTGCGCCGGCGGCCCGACGAGGGGGTGGACGTGCGCGCCCTGGAAGAGGTTCTGCACGGCGAAGAAATTCGGGATGGCCATCTCGCCCGAAGAAACTGCTTTGAAAAGCGCGGAAGAGAGGGAGGGGGTCTTCAAGATACTGGCGAGCTGGAGCTGAAATCGGCGAAAAAGCACTCTTCCAAGGCAGAACGACTCCTGGGCAAATGGGTTTTCGAAGCGCCAAGCCGGGGCCTGTAGAGCAGCTTCGACAGAAGGCTTGCAGGGCAATGGCTCGCGGCAGGTGCGCTTTTCACTCACGCCCGTTGTCGGAAGAGGCGGTCAGCCCAGCCGCGGCTGGCATTATCTGGAGCTGGGAAGGGGCGGGGGGCACTCGCACACAGACACACAGACGCACAGACACACAGACACACAGACACACAGACACACAGACACACAGACACACAGACAGACAGGCACACAGACACACAGACACGCAGACACACGGACACACAGACACACAGACACACAGACAGACAGGCACACAGACACACAGACACACACGCACGCACGCACGCGACGCACGCACGCACGCACGCACGCACGCACGCACAGACGCACGCACGCACGCACGCACGCACGCCACGCACGCCACGCACGCCACGCACGCCACGCACACCACGCACGCACGCACGCACGCACGCACGCACATCACGCATACGCAAATACGCACATACACACATGTGCACATATGCACATACACACATATGCAGACACACACGCATACACACCTACACACATACGCGCACACATGCATACAGCATACACACATACACATACACAGATAAAGAGAGAGAGAGAGAGTTCGACAACGCATCACGGCGCACCCTTCTGTGACATTGCCTGGCCATGCAGGGCTGGGAACGGCGAAGGTCACCGCCTAGCAGCCCTAGGACTGAACTGCTGGGATTACCCTTGTTTTCGTACCCCCGAGAGGGCCCTGGGCATTTCCTCCCGGCGAGGGGCTGCAGGGGCCCGAAGGCACTTTCGGGATCGGAGGTTCCCCTGCAGACTTGTGAAGGAGTTCTGTCTACTGCTAGTGGCTGGGGCAGGGATCGAACCCCTGCACCCTTTCCCACTCCAGCCTTCGGATCTGAAGAAGCGGGTGATACCACTACAGCACTACGGCCATCGAGAGAGAGAGAGAGAGAGAGCGAGAGAGACACTCAGAGACACACACAGACACAGACACAGACAAAAACAACTTCGGCTGTGACGCGCGCGTGCTTGCGGAGCTGCCGACTCTGGTCCGTTCCTAAACCGAACTCATCGTGGCAGCAACATTGGCCAGCGGACCTGTAAGTACTTTGGCCCGATATGCATGCAGTAACATATATGGTTTAGACACCCCACTAAGAGCCCCTTGACATATAGTCGGTAAAAAGTCGATGGCCTGGTAAGCGACAGTCATAGCTTAGCATGTCGGGCCCGTTTACACTCGGGGCCGCCGAAAAGGGGGGGTAGTAAATCTACGGCTTATCATTTTCCTGAGTTTCCCTTACTACACTACACCACATGCGGCCTCGACGATCGCGTGTGGTCTCAGGCACAATCCAAACCACAAGCCTCGATCACGCCCCGAGGCTTCCTCCTGGAATCACCGTCACTATCAGGGCTGTGGGTGGCCTCTCTCAGTGGAGATTCGCCCAATCCTTGTCACCCATCCTGAGAGGGAGTCTAAGAGGGGAGGGCAGGGGGAGGAGATGGGAGGGGGGGGGTGGAGGAGGATGGCGGAGGAAGGGGGGGGAGGAGGGCGAGGCGGAAATGGGGGTGGGGGAGGAGGGAGGAGGAGAGGAGCCGCCGCATGACCAGGAAACGGACGTGCAGCAGGAGTAGGCGGGGAGAGGGAGGGGGGGGAGGGGATGGATTGGGGGCCAGGCGGGAGGGAAGGACGGGAGTGAAGGGGCCCACGGACACACAAATAGATAGACACGAATCCCAGGATCCCATATTTTCACTTTTCACATATTTTCATGATTTTCATATCCCCCCACTTCCCATGTGATCCCATATTCCCCGGGGGATCGACGATTATTTGTGTCTGTGTTTTTCCCCTCCTGGGGGAACAAAACTGGAAGGACAAACGTGGGGGGCGGGCCGGGCGTTTCGCCTGAGACTTCCTCACAATTTCTGACTCTGAAGCTCAGGAAGTGACAACAGCTTCGCAGATGGAGGGCGGGTCGCTTTCAAAATGCGCCTCTCGCTATAGCGCCGCGCACATTCGTTTTCCAAGAGCTTCACGGATTGAGGGCGGGTCGTTTTCAAAATGGGGCTCTTGCCTTAGCGCCGCGCACATTCGTTTTCGACATTTGCAACGAGTTTCACGAATTGAGCGCGGTTCCTTTTCAACATGTGGCTCTCGCCTGAGCGCCGCGCACATTCGTTTTACTTTCACGGATTCCCATGATCAACGTACCAAAAATTGTGTTTTGGAAGGACTCAGGATTATGCGGGTGCAACAGATATATTGATTCGCGGCGTTGAACTCTAAAAACTGGCGTTATGGCACGATTCCGGAACACCAAAACGCAGCAATCAGGTTGATACGTGGCGTTGAACTCCCGAGAACAATGTTTTAGCATGCTTCAGGATCTTCAAACGGTTGTCTTCCAACGAGGCAATTCCCTCAATGGAAATGAACCGCTGTAGGGGCATTTGAAGAGGGAGTTTGGTGGGAGGGTGAATTCCAACATCGTTGATGACTCTTGGGTTTACATTCGTCCTCCTCCTCCTCCTCCTCCTCATCCTCCCTCCCCCTCCTCTCCGGTGCATCTGATGTGGCCTGGAGACAGTACGGGCACGGTCACCTGGAATGGTGCACCGAAAAGAGCGAGGGGGGAGGAGGGCGTGCTGCAGGCGTCAGGATCCATGATCTAGACATCTTCATGCGGCAGGATCGAGTCGTGACGACTTCGGCGATGGCTTCTGACACTGCGTGGATCGTTCAATCTCAGAAGAGCGCCAAACAGTCCACCACTACCAGCCCTGGCCAGGCACATCCTGGGCCCTGGCACATCCTGGGCCCTGGACTGGTGTACAGGCCCTCCTGGCCTAGGCGTGGAGGTCTATACACCAGTCCAGGGCCCAGGATGGCCCTGGCCAGGGCTGGTGGTGGTCTATTGCTGGCGTCCCTCCGAAACTCAGGGAGACGTAAGACACGGGTTCGGGGGACTCGGGTTGGCTTGACGGGGCCATCATGAAAATGACGGGATCCATTCTGAAACTTGACGTGACCTCCCGCTGCAACCATCCCGCGAACCCTGGACCGTCGGTAGGTTCGCGCAGCGTCGACGCGCGCCAAGGTTTTTGACACCGCGTCGATAGTTCAACCTTGAACCGATCGCGGCCCCGATCGCTCAAGGTTGATCGGGCCTTGGTAGAACCGGGTTTAGTGGAACCGGGTTTAGTGATCTGTACCGGGGGCACCCCCCCGTCCCATTTCCACCAACCGGAACTGCCGTCACCCGAACAAACACAAGCCATGGCAAACCTGGCTTAGTGCTTCTGGCCAACTCAAAGGTTCCGGGGCCCCACCACTAACCGGGTCCCCTTACCCGGGGTCCGTCTGGGGGATCGACTACATAATTGATTTACCCCAAAATTGATTTCCACGACGATTCTTCAACACA